AGTGTTTAAGACTGTTTTGTGATATGACAACACTGACTACTGGAGCCTATTTAGGAGATTTGTATAAAACATGTTTAGAATTGCAGCAACCAGAGTGAGCTTCTGTGACATAAGTGAGACAATTGAGAATCCAAACAAAGTTCAGTCAGGTCCTCTGGATGGTTCCTTTTTTGTCAAAACATTTCATCCAAAGTACTTCATCAGTCCGAGGAGACAAAACAAACTCTGGTTAGCCGATTTACGTTCATTGACATAATGTTTTGTTTTCATTGGTTCTTTCAATCAAAATAGTCATTGATCAGATGCTTTCAATGCCTCCCCTGAACCTTGCAGTACTCCTCCTATCCATACCTAACTCCTCCCCTATGGTAAGGTCAAAGGTCAGTTATCCATTTGAAAATACTTTTTGACTAAAATGTGCCGTTACTACTGATAGGTGACACGCTTTTTTTTCAAGGAATGCTATTTTATTTTTATGATTTTGAAAAAAAAAAAGATTTTGTATTTAAGAAATCTAATGCTCAGTGTAACTGTTTGAAAGATAAGATAAAAAGATAAAACAAGCTGTTTGTCACTCAGTTTTACAAACTAACATGCAGAATACCAACGGACAATTTCTTTCCTTATTAATTGACACACTCAGATGCTATTTCTTACAAATAGTCTGCTCCAACTATTTTTTATGTAAACCACAATCTATTTAACAGGATGTATTTTTTAATAGAGTTCACGGTAAGCTCTCTTGCAATTTATGGTTTATGCGTGCAGGACACTGGTTTGGAGGTGGCGCCTGGGGGTGCAGTGACAGGTGCAAACTCCAGGTAACTGACATGATGCAGCGAGACAAGGCGATGAGTCACCCCGGCCCCCAGCAAGCTCCCTCGCTTTAACCTGCAGCAGCGGCTCCTGAACGATTATCTATTTATAACCCTTCCACAGCAGTCCCACTACCACTGACAGACAGAGATATCTGTCTTGGTTTGAGCTCATTTTTTGGCTCAGAAGCACATTGGAGGCGTAACGTTAAATCCTCTGCTGTGTAATAAATGGTTTAATGGACTAACTTAAAATAGAAGGGTATAACATTGCAGCCTGGTTCCACTTCACTTAGGTACTTTTCACTACACATTAATGGTAATTCTTTTATTTGCGTGGTAGCATGGTGTAGATAAAATGTACTCCCTGTAAGTCGTACAGCACACTGTCATGGCGGCTGACTCATTGGCTGGCACACCTGCAAATACACCCATCAGGATTAACAATGAGTTGCACTATAATGTATTCCTCTGACTTTGCTAAAAGTTCATGTAAAGACAGATAGAGTTGGTTTATAATACGTGCAGCTTTGATATTTTTGGCACAACGTTGGCACGTTAGAGAACTTTTATCATTTTAAAGACACTGAGACAACTTTATTTTCACAAAGACAGCTTGCCTGCTTAAATAAATTATTATTGGTGTTCCATTATTGGAAGTTACGAGTTTTTATTCATCAGCATACTGGTTCTCATACAGGAGGGGGATGTGAAGCTGAGAACCTTCTGGCTTCCTTTATTTGTGTGGGAAGCAATCCAGTCATGACATATGAGAACTATTGCTCCTCCAGCGAGGGTCTCCCTCAGGTTGCACATTTAGCATTTTTAAGCACAAGTTAGGTGGTTTGTTTACAGGTGAAGAGCAGAGCTGCAAAATGGTACTCTGTCTGAAACTGCAGTTGACAAACCCTAACCTTTTGCCTCCTGATGAAGCACTTTCAGCTAATTCGACACTTATTGCATTTGTGTTTTAGAGATAATTGCAAAGCCAAATGCCTGCGCCAAACTTTAGGAACTACTGGCACATCCATTACACCCTGTGCTGGCAGGCAACGTCCAGAAAAACACTGCTCATACTCTGATTAAACATTTGGGGACAGTGGAAAGTCACAAACTATACTACTTCCTAACTTTTAGGAAACTGCTTCTCGTAATGTTGGCATTCAGCAGCTACAGAGTTTTTCATAATGACAACCCCCTGTAGGAGTCAAGCTTATTTTCATTTTCTCTGGATGTAAGAGGGTAATGAATCTATTTCCTTTAACCACTGCTGCTTTTATTATCCAACCTTACAAAATACCTAAAGTTCTGTAATATCTCTCTGCAGAGACTGCAACATTTTATTGTGGGTAAACAGAGTTATATAAAAGAACTTGTAATATGAAAGGCAATAGCATGAACCTGAGCTGGGTCTATTACTTCTTCCACTGTTTACCATTTCCTCTTTCTCATAACTGAACCCAGCGTCTGTATTTACTTTGTTTGGCTCATTCCTGGATCAAATGGGGAAATATGGAATTGTATTTAGCTGTGATTTTCCTCTCTGTCAGGATGAGGGCTTTGTACCTTGCCTGCAGGTCTGAAAGGAGCTCTAGCCTCTGTGTCTTTTCCATATTCAGAACATCATCCTGCTCCAGCACCTGGGTCTCACGCTGCAGGGAATGAAGTCCCACTGTTTTCTGCAAACAGACCTGTTTTGGCCAAATGGATGGGCTTCTTCACACAAACACCTGATGTCTGCAACAAACCACAGCGATAGATAATTTACAGGAGCAGAACTGGTCTCCAAAAATCACAAGACATTTGAATATTAAATGCTATTCTAACTTTTTAGGCAATATTAGTGCTTGTTTTAATTAGTAAATGTTCCTGGTGATAAAATGAAAAGAGCACTAATTGTGGGCTCTTTAAGAGATTTAAAGCATCATATGTACGCTTTTAAACTGCCCCTGCACTAAGAAAATTAATGTAATTAATGTTCATAATGTGTCAGGATAGCAAAAGTTTAGAAGTTTCTGATTAGCAAACAACCATTAAAACCCATGTTTTATTGCAAAAGACCTTCACAAAGATTAAGAAGTCCCTGGAGACATGGTGCACACCTGAGCAGTTAGGGCCTTTTTGAAGATTAATCTAAAGAAAATGTTGCATTTATCTTCACTAGAGCTATTCAGTGCTAGAAATCTGCAAAAGAACAGAGACGCTACTCTTTTTCAAACTGGTTTGTGCAATAAGAAGGTAAAAATAGAGCGTTTAGAGCTGTGTTTAGAGACAGAAAAGCGTGTGTAATTTAATAGACAGAACACTTTTGAAATGGTTGAGAACAGATTTGGATCCATTATGTTTTTGGCTGTTGTTGCTACTAGTGGCAATAAAGTTATTTGACTGTCAGATTGAAAAATCTCTGCAAAAACTGAGGATTTTGTAAAAATCATTACAAATTTGCCAGATTTTATGGATAGAAGGTCTTTTTTTACTAACTTAGCTTATATTATGGGGGACATTTTGGCCTAGGATAATAAATATTTTCTCATACAGCCACGACTATATCTCCTGCTGATTATCTAAAACTGAGCTGCCTTCATCTAAATTAAACAAACCTGTCAATATTCTCACAGAGCCATTTCTTTCATATTTGTGGGCTGTTTTGGTGATCAGAAGTGATTTATTGGCATAAGCTTTGCAAAAATGTTTAGACAACCAGGAAATAAGGCAAAGGATGGCCACGTGGGAAAAGCTGCTTAAATCCCCCCACTCCTTTCTGCGTAAAAGCCAGATCAAATTAAATGGTTTGATACTTTCTCGGCCAATCCGATTAGGCCGATTAATTCCCAAAAGTGTTCAAATGATTAAAGCTGGTTAATGGGCTGTGAGGAAAGTTCAGAGTTGGCTGTGATATCACACAGAGTTAGAGGGAAATCAATATAAAAGAAGATAACACTTTGGCTTTGCTTTAAGATAATTACGACTACCTGCATATTCTGATCTGACAATCTGTTTCTTAAAAACTGCAGACCTTTGAGGCGAACACGGCTGATAAATAGTGCATGTGCTGTGTAGTGACACAGGGTCTAAATATAGAGGGAAAATGGAGCAGAAGAAAGGAGCAGAAAGAAAAGCATAAATATTCACAGTCCATTTAAAGGAGGTTGACAAAAATGTGGTCATCAGAGAGATGCTGTCCTCTGATAAACATCACCTAATGTGACTATGGGTTCACCTCACAATTCTGGAGACGGATGTTTCTGCTTATGGAGCTTTTTTGTGTCACTTGGACACAAAGGTTCATTTTGCCAAAGGACATATATAGAGAAAAAGACTAAATGGTAAGTGGCTACAGGTCCCACTCCTCCCCATCCCACTTCCACTTTCCTTTCTAATACACTCATTTCCCAAGGGAGTGGTATCCATCACTGAGACGGCTGCTGGGATGTTACGCCATGCTGCCTCGTGCATGTGAACACAAGGTGACTCAGCCAGTGATATGTGCCCGTAGTCTTATGAATGCAGCCCCATGTTTCCCCCATAAAGTGTCCATCAGCACTATAATGCATCTCCCAGTGAAAGTGACAAAGCCTGGGCTTGCACATTATTAACTCCAGACATTTTATGAGCCCGTGGAACGGAGCAGCTTCTGAATAAGATATGTATTCAGTGGCAGTATCAGTCTTTGGCATATGACAGTTTTTAAACCACAGATTGTGTTCCTGCCATATTATTTATTATTCCCAAAAGGAATAGACAGATTTAAGCTTTATTTTCCTGCATGTAATCAGTTATGCCACATATTTGGCATAAGAAATGACATAAATATTTGGAATCTTATCTTATATGTATGTGTTTACCATAAAAGAGAGGGGTAGAGGGCTTATGATAAATGCATGCCATTTCAATTATAAATGTGTGATAAATTTGGTTTAATCCTTTATATTTGGTGTCAAACAAACTAAAATCGTGCGAGAAGAAGAGATTATGGAGAACTGTGCTCAAAAAATGTGTTTCCTGCTCTCAGTGGGGAAGAACAAACAGCTTGAGAAGGAAGTGTGTCATCATATGGGTCTGCAAAGTGGCTCACTTGATCTAAAAACGCATTCAAGTGCCCATCTCTGGAATAAAGGACTTTCAGCTTACGCAACCAAACCGTTGGGGGCGCTTAAAAAAAAAAAAACACCCAGCAACGCCACACGCTGAACAGAGGAAGACGCCCAGCTCTGGTAAGTTTAGAAACCAGTGGAGTTGACTGCGCGCCACCCACAGCACATCATTTGGCTGGAGTCAGCTCATGTCGGAGCTGTGCGTAAAAACGAACCCGCAGGACGCGTCAGGCGGTGCCATGGCATCCAGGGCTCAGCGTGCAAAGTCCACTCTTACACCCACGGAATGACTTCCTTTTTTTTTTTTTTCTGCACGGATGTTTGTGTTTCGAGGGCAGCTGCTCTAATAAACTGAGAGTAATCTGGGATAGGATGGTGGATCAGCCCTTTCTTCTCCATCGACTCCGCTGCGCCGAGGAACGATGCTGAGAAAATCAACCCGAGGATTTTCAGGTATGATGATAACAGGAGTGTTTATCAACAGCACAGGCTAAATATATATTTATGTTATGAGGATAATAAAGGATAAAACGATGAACATTTTGCGCTTTTTTGTGATGCCACCAAAACAATTCAAACAGAATGTAATTAGTTGCGTGTGTGAGCGAATAAAAGAAACAGGAAGGGTGCTCCCTGTCATTAATTGTGAAGTCTGGGCACTTAGTCACGTGCGCTAAGTGCACTTCTTCTCGTGTCTGATGAATTATTTGTGGGTCTGTAATGTGATTTTCCTTGTCTAATGTAGTGTGTAATGGAATTCCTTGTTATCTGGACTGCGGCTCACCCAGGAGGATGTGGACACAGTGTCTGTCTTGTCTATGTGTGTGTGTGTGTGTGTGTGTGTAGGCTCATATTCATCCACCAGCCCACATTAGTCATGCTTCCCCACAGCAAATAACTGTGAAATCTACTGTAGCTGCACGAGCTTTACCCTCCGGGGGTCAGAGGTTGCAGAGGTTACCATAGATCTTCTCTGGCCCCTGTATTTCTGTCTGCGCTCTGCCATTTTCTTTCTCTAACAGCTTATTTTTTTCAATTCAGGACTTGTCCTGCTGTTATTTCACTGCTGCCTGAGTGGTTATTATCTAATTTCATTATTAGTCAAAGGTTGAGAGATGAATTTGCTGGATTAGGTCTTTGCAGGCCAGACTGAACTGGTCGCTGCAGCTTGTTTGGATGCAGCTTAGCCATGCAGGAGGATTTGCAACACTAAATATCGCTTTTGCTCAGTGAAATCTGGACATGCCCAGATTTCACATCCTCTATTTGGCAGATTTGTTGCCTTAGTGACTGCCTCTCACACTCTACACTGTTGTTTTAGTTTTTAACACACACAAAGAAGTACATTTTGAAGCGATTTGTCTGTTAAATAGATGGATTTGAAGAAAAAAGTGGCCATGGAGATTGATTGACAGACAAAATCCAATACCTATGTAGAGTCAAAGCATTTCTTGGCACTTTCTAAAATATATATTCTTCTATGTTTATATGAAACTGGGGGTAAGTGATGCAACAGTTGAACATACAGCAGATGGTGATTTCATGTCTGCTGCTGTGAGCTTGTGAGAGGAATGTCGATTACCAAACAAAAAGAAACATTTTCCTGCACTCAATTCTTGGTTTCTTGTGCCAAATTAGCTTTTTTTTTTCCCCCGTCACCTTAATTATAACGCCATATAATTAGCATTGGTGGAAAAGAACAGCTTTTCATTTTTAAGTATTTTACAGTTCTAACACTTAATGTGTGTTTTTTTTTTCTTTCCTTTTCAGCTGCCAAACTACTAGAAATTCTTTGGACTCCATCCTCTCCATTAAACGTTTGATTCAGTCCTCAAGTCATGGAAAGCCTCAGCGAGCTCCAAAATCCCCTGCTAGATAAAACCAGCAGGCATACAGTTCACAACGACTACCAGGGATCCCAATGCGACTACTCGAGCCAACCGTATCAGGACAGCCTGATTGGTTACTACTACACCGGGTCCAGCGGCATGCAAAAGACCCCACAGTTCTTGGATGCAACCTCTCTTCAACTTGCAGTGGAAGCTTTTTACAGGCCCAACTTTATCCTGTTCAAGGACAACATTAGCCTTCACAGCAAGGATTCAAAGAATGAGATCTTTGAGACTACTTTCACAGAGAATAAGGAAGCTGTTTCAGATGGGGTTTCAACAGAGAACACGGGGGAGAGCACACAAGGGGAGAAAGATGTGAAGATCCAGACGGTGTCGTACGACGTGGAGGAGGAGCACTGTCCTGAGTACGAGGTCAGTGATCACACCAGTGCAAAATATGATTAATGAATAATACTGTGTGAGGTGCAACACATTATAACTGCAGGCAGGGTTGAATATGAGCTGTGCAGTGGTGGTAATAGTTAAGGAGTTTTCATCAGTTTCAACAAGTTCATTCGTAAAAATCACAACTAACTCACAAGAAAAACGCATTTGAAATGGAAACAACCTGTTCAAAGTCCAATTTATTCAAAATATAATCCAGTTCAGTCAACGTATTGTCCATTACAGTCAAATTTAGTATGTTTGTGTTTATATATTGCCATTAAAAAAAGTATAACTTTGTAAGATGGTTTTTGATTTTTCTCTCAATTCAGTCTTGAACATGAAACAATTAATTTAAACGGAAGTGATGAAAGCAGCTGAATATCTTTGTGGATTCCTGAAAACTTTCAAATGAGAAAAGTTCCTCAGATGGGAAGTAAAACCAGTTCAAGAACTCTAACAAGGTCAGGTCAGGTCCTCTGGACGGATTCTTATTCTTGAATAGTTTCGTCTTTTGTCCGAAAGTCTTCTTCAGTCTGAGGAGCTGCAACAAACTCAATCTTATAAACTTCTGGAGGTGTGGTGTGACCACTCATGCTGTGGAAGAAGGTCACATGCTGCAGGAGGACCTCTATGGTCACAGCCTCCTCCTTGGGAAAACTGCTGCTCCATTTTTTTGTCAATCCTGTGGATTTGGTCCAGAACTCCCTATTGTCTCGTGCTCCAGCATGCTCACCACTATGATGATGATGCAAGACGTTCTCCATCCATTTGATGATCTGACCTATTAAGCATCTCCAGTAGCCTTTCATTGATTATCATGTTCTGGATGGCTGAGAAACTTAACCAGGGACAGAACCAAAAACTATTTTAACAGAAAAGAACAACCAGTCAGGAATAAACAATTTCCAAATTATCCTGTTGTAGCCAATAAAAAGAGCCCATGAGAAATTCGATCCCTTTATCTATTTCTTATTAGATATTTTAGGATTATCTGAAAACTTCATAGCTTTTATGTAGAGATTATAGCAGTTCAAACACAAGACTCAATTTTTAAAGAACTAAACCATGTTAATAAAACATTCTTTACAGCATTTGACAGCATGATTAAGGTATTAAGTTGCTACATGAAATTAAAAACTCATACTTGTATCTATCACAGCCATCTTGTTACAGAAATTGAATCTAGATGCAAAGGCGTATTAAATATGCTGTTTTAATAGGCTGCCTCACACTGTACATGTCTATACAGTAATAGGTTTCTCTGCTGGGATCTTATGCATAGTATAATAATGTGATTTTGTTTTATTAATTTCTAAGAGAATGACACAACTTACTTGATCAGTTCAAGTTTTTAGGGCTGTAACTGATCTCCCTAAAGGGAAAAAAAAATAGCAGTAAAGAGGGCAAAATCTTTTTAGAAGTGGTGAAAATATCATTTTAACCATGGATGCTTATGAAATACCCAGGGCTCTGAGCTGGCAGAGAGAAATATAGCTCCCTAACCAAGCTGCAGATCATGCCAGCTCCTGTCACTCGGAGAGGTGGCAGATGGATAGAGACACTGAAACAAGCTCCATTAATGCCAAAAGTAATGTCCTGCTTTGAGGGTATTAGGCGGGTCTCGGCTTGATGCATGGCTGTCGCAGCAGGTTACGCAAGTTATTCTTTGTCAGATCAAAAAAGCTCCGATGCCTCAGTGGTGCAGTTTATGTGTTCAGGAAATCCTAAAAACACACACAAACTATGCCATATGTACAGAAACAAACACGGGGTGGGATTTCACATCTTTGGGACTTAAAGTAAAACAAACAGATGAAAGCACTTGTTAATTTTCAGGAAAAAGTCTGTGATGTTTTGTGTCTACATTTTATCTGGCGGTTCACAAAACTGAGTGCAGGAACTCCACAACTTGTCATTGCCAGCAGATGGTTGAGATGTGTGCGACAGTGAAGAAATAAATTGCAGGTAACAAAGTATCCCAACCTTGGAACCATTGTGACTACATCACCCCCTCCACCCACAACTTACAGGGTGCACCAGTCTGTGTGTGCAATGCTGTCGAGTCAACAGTCGCCCCAGGATGCTAACGAGGCCTTGGAGAAAGCTGTGACAGGGTTGTTAAAGGCACTGTGCCTCGGTGGGCCCCATCAGTTATACAGACAGACAAGACCGGGAGAGACTTGGGCTTCAGCCGGGCTGTCAGTAGGACTCAATGTACCAGTCACTCAGCTCTGTTATCAGGTCTTGCTCCATAGATAACGGAGCATTACTTGTGTTAGCCATTGTGAGTGTATTTATGCGACGTCAGAGTGTGCTGTTATGACCAGCTCTGATTTTGATGGATCGTACCCGACTGTCCAGGTGGACGGTTTTCATAAAGCAGATAAGATGGAGTTTTATTATCTTTCCTTGGCAATGGTTACTGTTTGTAAACTGCTTAGCAATGTCATGCTCCTTTTCTCCAGTTTCCTCAAACATACACAAAAGGTTTTCTCTTTAAGCTTGCCAAGTTGTTCTAATTGCATCCCGTGGTTTGGTGAGATCAGACATAGAAAAACCATGTACAACAAACTTAAAAGTGTGGTTCTTGCCATGCTTGAATGCTTCCTCTCTTCTTTCTTCCCTCCTTGACTGTTCTTTAATTACCTGTGGATGGTTGGTTGAGGTCCTGCCTTATGCATTGATTTTTTGATTGTGTTCTCCTTTTCTCCAGCTTTGTTCGATCCCTGAAGGCAGCAACTCTAACAAATGAAGCCTGCGTCTTATGGAGGCTATTTATTCAGGCAAACATCCTCTCAGTCTCCAGAACGGATATAAGAAGTATGGCCACCGTCTCTTAAAGGTCACCCACACGGTCGCATTTCTATTGTTGCCACAGGCGCGATAGACCCATTTAGTGAGAGAGGCATCCAAATCTATCATTCATTAGCCTGCTCAGAGCCTGTGGCCTTGGATTTTATCATAGAAGAATGATATTGGTGGGTCTGTTGAACACATCCCGCCTTGTGAGGTGTGCGGTGCATCAAGGAAGGTTGGTGGCGGTCTCTCAGACTGGAGAAGCAATTTAGTACATAAACGACACTGTCTTCTTGCCGTTTCTCCTGTCACGTCGTGATGATAGAACAATCCGTTAATCCCGAGTTATCTGTCATGCTGCTTATGGATGTTGACAGAGGCACCAAATCCTCTTCAGCTGGCTGAGCACATCCTGTCCTGGGTGTTGGTGGAAACAAGGGCAGATACTCTGGCCTAGGAAGGCAGAGGTGGAGGGGGGACTTAAACCGGGCCCTGTCGCGAAACACCACTTTGAAGCTGTTCAAAGTGAAACTGACTCTTACACGTCCGTCTTACATATATTGCAGGTGTCACAGCCAAGATCAAAGCTGCATCTCTTGAATTATGTTTTCCACCTAAGAATATGCACTGAAAAAAAACAGTTTTATTTTTAGGCACCTAAATGTTCTGTCTGAATCTGCTGCTTTCCAGAGTGACAGCTCCAGTGATAGCGAAAGCGAGGACAACTTCATTGTGCTGCCCCCTCGGGACTACTTGGGCCTGGCCATCTTCTCCATGCTCTGCTGCTTCTGGCCATTGGGCATCGTTGCCTTTTACTACTCTCACAAGGTAAAGGTCCAAAGACCTCAAGTCTGTCATTAATTCTGATAGCACAGCGTTCTATTTAAGGTCAGTGAACACAAGCACTCAGACAAGTGCAGCCACAGCCTATTTTCCACCCTGTGACCCTGTTTGCAATTGTTCCAAATGACTGACTACGCAAATTCTTTTTTTTTTTTAATAGCTGCTTGTCAGTCACCTGTGAAAAGGAAAAAAAAAATCATTATTGTCGAGATTTTCATTCACAGCATGCTCTGCATTAGGAATGTGCCTCAGATATATTATTTTGAGCGGTTGCATCAGCGAAAAATACCTCAGTGTCATGTTTCAGGTCCTGAAATCCCAACTAAACGGCTGCAAATCCTAGACATATCACAACATCTTCCACATTAATTGCAAGAAAAATATATCAGAACTGAAAATAACACGTCTGATGAATAAATAAGGGCCAGACTCATTTTTTTCTTCAGTAGCCAAAACACCTAAACAACACATTTGTCACTGTCAGAGGCATAATGACCTAATTGCCATGGTAACTAATGGCTCCCTGAGAGAATGTCTTGTTTTTTCTCTTTTTAACTATGGCTTAACACCTACTCATGCACTCATTTCTGATGAGTAACACACAGGCTCATTTCACTCTCTGCTTTTGTTTTGTCAGACCGGCAAGGCCATCGCTAAGGGAGACTTCTCCAGAGCGGGGATGAGCTCCAGGAGAGCCCTATTCCTGGCTGCACTGGCCATTACCATTGGAGCAGGGATGTACGTGGGGGTGGTTGTCGCCCTCATAGCCTACCTGTCCAAATCTGGACATGTATAGCACCAGGACCAGTTGCTTGAGGGGAAAAGTGGGTAAGCAAGACGCAAGATGGGAGGACACTTAAAACTGGACAGATCATTTTGCCTCTCATGAACAGTAAAAAAAAAAAGAGCAATGCAAACCAGAAAGAGAGTGGATGAAAAAAACTCCCAAGTGTGGATGGAGTATTACTTCAACCGCACAATGATCCATACTGAATCGTTTTTTCTGGTATGCAGCACTACCACCAAAGGAACAAACGAGATGAGAAAAGAAATAAATAAGATAACTCTTCTTCGGCACAGACTACGCTTAACAGTAGAAAACAACCAAACATCACCTTAGGGGTTCAAAAACAACTTATTTGAGCTTTGCAAAAGGTGTTTTATCCGTATGTGTATTAGCTACATTGCCAATAAAATTCTTGTATTAAAACAGTTAGCCAGTCAAGTTTGTATGTGATTGATTATTGAGAAATAAACCGGAAGGCGATTACCTCAGTAAAGGGTGAGGAAAAGACTCTTGACAAAAAGGACAAAAGGTGTCCAGGTGGATCTGCACAAAGCTGCTGAGCAGTGGACAGGAGCATTGATACTGTCTTTTGTGTACTGTACATTTAGTCAATAAACGCATTTGGCATGAGTAATGAAACACCTCACAATGTCTCACACTCGCTTGTCTTTTGGAGAGATAATATGTTGGAGGGCGCTTGAGACAAAGAAGCCAAAGGGTGGGGATTTGGTCCAAAACAACATCTACAGCTTCTAGAAGAAAGAACAAAAAGACAAACGTTACAGATACCGTATTTCCCAGTGTATAAGTGACAGTTTTTTTGCATGGATTTGTCAGTCCTGCGACTTATACACGAATTATATATGGTTTTTTTTTTTTCATACTCATAACGCAATTTTTGATTGACGCTTTAAATTTCGAAGAACTGCAACAGCGAGTGCTCCCATGCGCGTTTACTTCACTCAGCTGGTGCAGGCGGAGGAACACTGGAGAGCTAGCGGCTCCGGCCTCGATGGAGGGATGGATGGATGGATGGATGGATGGATGGATGGATGGATGGATGGCGCTGCGGCACCCAGATGAAATGAAGCTGTTTTGACCATTAAATAAATGCATAATAAACATGACTGGTCAGTGGTGACGCATATTAAATGCAACTTATACACTGGAAAAAACGATAATTAGTGCAGAGTTTTATTGCTAAGATGATTGTCAACCGAATTCAGGCACAGCAATAAATTCTTCAAAAAGATTATGACTCATCAGTAAAAGTAAAGATGAAGCTAATTTTGTTGACAACAGCTCAGTTCTATTTATATAAAACCCAACAATGTGAAAAACTGCACATCATCCAGCTTAGATTAATTTAAAAACAATTTATTTCATCCTACCTCTTTGCTTGTTTCTTGTTAAACAAGACAAATTGTTTAATGAATCCAGTCTCACTTTAGAAAATCAAATTTACTGATGAGAAAACTGAAATGTCTGAATCAAAAAAGTGACGGTTTTTGTTTAACTTGTACTTTTTTGATTATTGTGCCAAACAAGAATGAAACATAATTCTCTGGGATCATTTCATTATTTTTTCATGTGTACACGTGGAAACAGTCAAGGTGATTTTGCAGCTCTTTTATCAGCTGGTGAAACACTTCCTGCCTTCAGTACCAGATCAGACTGACTTTGTTTGTCTTTTTCTAGTAAGAAGTGAGAGGAGAACTTATCTGGTGCCATTAAATATGAACCAGACTCAGTGTGCACTCTTTTGATGCAAAATCATTTTTGGCAAACAATGGATTTAAAAACAAACAAAACAAAAAAAAAACTTGGTGTTGCAAAGCCAGTCAAAAAGAAGTAGATTACATAGAAAAGTATGAAAAAGTATCATTTAAACTCTAATACACAAACAATTTGTTGCTTATCCTTAAAAACGTATGATAATTTAAATGAGCAGTTACTATTCTTGTTAACGTTTTGAATGATGCTAGTTAGCTTTTGCAAAAGATGACAACAAAAGTCCAAATAAATAAAAAATGGGTTAATTCTTCAGCCTCAACTGTCAAATGCTTTCTGCTAATTAATGTATCTTCCATCACGATGGTGTTAGTCTGACGTGTAAAGACAAAGCATTTGTAGACTTGCAGGCAATCAGATTGCATCATTGAGATCTGCTTTCTTGTAAAAAAAAATAAAAGCATAATGAATTAAAAAAACAAACATATAAGTCGCTTTGGCGTATAAGTCCCATTTATTATGTGTCCCCAGTAGTGTCGCTTATATTATGCGTTAATTTAATGGTCACAGCAGCTTCATCTCACCTGGGTGGCGCAGCGTGGTACAATCCATCCATCCATCCATCCATCCATCCAGCCAGCCAGCCAGCCAGCCAGCCAGCCAGCCAGCCAGCCAGCCATCCATCCATCCATCCATCCATCCATCCATCCATCCATCCATCCATACATCCATCCAGCCATCCATCCATCCAGCCAGCCAGCCAGCCAGCCAGCCAGCCAGCCAGCCAGCCAGCCATCCATCCATCCATCCATCCATCCATCCATCCATCCATCCATCCATCCATCCATCCATCCATCCATCCATCCATCCATCCATCCATCCATCCATCCATCCATTCATCGTGGCCGCTAGTTAGCTAGCTCTCCAGCTCTCCAACGTTCTTCCTCTTGTACCAGCTGAGTGAAGCGAGCGTGCACGGGAGGACTTGCTGTTGCAGTGTCAACTAAAATCAACTAAAAGTGATTTTGCAAACTCACTAAAAACATAGATTTTTCTCTTCATGACAGTGTTTTCATGCATTCCTCGTGGCACAATGCATCGCTGAAACGTTTACCGAGGATGAAAATTAAGTGCCTTCACCAAATCTGAACACATTAGGAGGGAAATCTCTTAGAGACACTGCTTCATTCTTCCAGATGAGTTCCCAAAGACTTTCAGAATGAAAACAAAGAACCACTGAGGCTGTTGTGACCAATAAAACTCCTCTGTAAATATCTGCTTGTAACAGTTACCTTATTCTGGTTTCTAAAGTAAGTTGTGAAGGACGTTTTCTGAAAGGCTTGCAACAGACAGCAGAAATGGAGGACCACAGAACAGGACACAAATTGTGTTGTTAAAGCCTGCCAGAGCCTGTTGTTGGTCACAAAGCAATATATTGAGTATTTGCTGGTGCAGGTACTGGCCTCTGATGTAACTGGCATGTCTCTTCAGTGTCTTTTGGCATCACTCACTGTCGCGCCTCCAGGTGACTTTAGCTGCCAGCGGCATGAGCCGAGCCTGCTCTCTGAAGTCGGGATGTCAGAACAAAATGAAAGCAGCATTTTATTCTCCTGTTGCACTTGAAAAGGACATCATGCATGTTCCTTTTGCTTCACCTGCCATGCAACCAAAGCATTAGCCGTCAGAATCAGTAGTATCCAGTAGCATGGAGGAGGAACAGCATCACAACACAGCAGATCTGTGCACATCAGAGATCCATCTGATTTAATGTCAAATGTTTAAGTAGCAAGAAAACAATTGGACAGATCATAGAGCCCCATTGAGTTGATTCTGTTTGTTTCATTAAATATAAATTGCGTCGATTAGAAAAAGCACACTCAACTTTTAACACCAAACTTTCCCACTACACCCCACACTTTTGAGAAATGGAGCAGACGATGGAGTAAACAACTCTTGCACAGCTTGGAGCCTCTTAAATTCGTATGTTTTCTCTTTTGGAGCGTTTCTCCAAGCAAGTCCCTAATGCATCAAATGAGGGTCGATGGGGGACACGGGGGCGAAAGTGGCGCTCTCATCAATGGGAGCTGCATGGGGTGCTGAAGTGGGCACACTCTGCAAGAAAGTGCAGTGCAGCATGTGTTTTCTCTCCCTCGGTAGATAGGAAGCGTCTCCCACGCTTGCTAGCACTCACAGCATCCATCGCTGGCTCAGACCTCCAGAAGCAAACTGGTTTTGTTAGTCATCCACCCCCATGTGGATAAAAAACCTTCCCATAGGCAGCAGCAGTTTAAAGTTGAGCAGTATTCAGTTTCAGTAAACAACACAAGGTTTTGTCTTGAAATGAACATTACTGTCCTTTGTGAGCTTCTAAATATAATCTTTTAATCTTTAATTTCCCAACAGTCTGTTTTATTTTTTTTAAGGTTACAGGAAGTTGTCTCTCTGCTTGTCCCATTTAGAAAATGAAATGACCTGAATGAGTCTTGCAAACAAAACTAAAGTAAAATCCACATAAAGTTGTTTTGTTTTTTTATATAGTGATAAATGAGCTGAAATAGAACAGATAGGGAAATTAGAATGGAGTGAAAAAACACATAAAAGTTGATTGCTGCAGTTAAAAAGCTTAATGCTCTCGATTCTTCTAAAGATTTTAAAGCTTTCTGTTTAAGGACAAATGACCATGAACAACAGCCTGTTCAGGTTATAACTATTTGGAATGGTTGCACTATATAGACATAAAAAAATAAGTGGTTTATATAAGTTGACACAGAAAATTACATGTGATTATGTGTGAATTCATATTACTATGTTGCTCCATCCTCATCTGGCAGATCAGACACTTGCACACTTTTTGAAATTCAAGCAGATCTTTTGTTTTCTTTCCTTTAGAGCAAGCTGATAAATGTTTATGTATATTTGATTAACCCAGGGACACTTTCTAGGTCACCGGCAGCATGACTGATGTTCCTGGCGGTGAACAGAGCTGAACTCACGACTGTTGTTCTCCGAGGTTTTCAGGACTTCAAAAGAAATGAGCGTGAATTCAACGTTTCGACACAGCGGGAGCGTCAGACAACAGCTTTTCAGCGCACTCACAGCAGATTTTTTTGTAGCTATGAATAATTTTGAACTCACTTTCATTTGTTAAAAAGGTGACCTTTATGATGCATGCCTACACACACACACACACACACACACACACTCAGCAAGAGTATTCTGGGATAGACTCCAGCATCCCACAGTCCTGGAGTGAGTCAGTGCACAGATAAGGCATGTACATACATGTGAGACATTTGTAAGCTGTTGTTAGAATAAATATACTGTGATTTTTAGCAGGATATTGAATTTAAGGATGCAGACTGGACACAGGAAGCTAAGAAACAGTATATTATAAAACATAACTTAACACTGACAAAGCTGTCAAAATGTACAAACTGAAGGAAAGCCCAAGGCAAATACAGGGAGGACAAGAACAATAAAGAGATCCACTAATACATGACTGCAGACTGAGGATCTGTTTGGAGATGGGGACCAGCTGAGCTGCAAGACTGAGCAACTGAGAAAAATGCAAATTGGCTGGAAACTCAGAGACAAAGAGTAAACTAAACACAAAGCAAATACAGAAATAAACATGCCAATAAAACTCCAGCACCTTGTGGTGGAAGCATCATGGTGTGGGCCTTATTCTTCACCAGGCAGGTGTCCACCACAGATAAAGCACTGAAACCATCCATCCACCATC